AGCAGGAGCAGGTGGTCTCTCAGAGGACTCACAGGACAAAAAGAGCTGTTATCTGCCCCAACCTGCTGCTTCTTCTCCCTGGTCAGCCTTATAGCCAAGCAGCTAAGGTCCTACCCTTGGCTCCTGATGCTCCTCAAGGAAGAGCAGTCTGTGGGTTTAAGGGAATGTGTCCTAGCCATGCTTTCCCCTCATTAAGCCCTACTTGGGGTAATCAGGACCACCTGCTTCCCTGCTTCCAAGGCCTGTGCAAGTCTCTCCAATGACCTGTTTTCCCAGGGGCCTCTGTCCCCTGTGTACACAGCCCCCTAGGCCTGGGTGGCCAAAGCATGATGGTTTGTGGAGTGAGAGTAGGAAGGAAGATTATCAGTGGAGCTTGGATACAAGAACAGAGCTGTTCACTTTTGTGCATGTGGCCCCTCACAGTGCAGGAGCTGTTGTTGAGAAGGCAAGGGGGCAGGTTGTGGGCCAGTGGCTCCATTTGTTTCTTCCTTGGCCCCCCAAAATATTAGAGTTCTATCTGGGGCCTCAATGATTTCCCTCTGCTCTGCCCCTGCCCTTGTCCCTCTGTGTCTCTGTCCCTGTGTGAGGTTCTCTCCGTCCCTCTCTCTGTGTCCCTCTCTCCCTGTCTCCCTGTTTCTGTGTCCCCGCCGCCAACCCCGCCCTGCCCCTGCTGTTCTGTGCTTTTCCTTCCAGGCTGCCGCTGTTCCAGGCTAGTGCCTTTGCGTTTCTGGTCCCAGCCAAAGCCATCCTGGCCCTGGAGAGATGGAAATGTCCCTCAGAAGGTGGGCATATTTCTGGGGTCTATGCTGAAGAGGGGGTGCCCAGGAGCTTGGAGATCTGGGAGACTATCCCAAGTCCAGACACCAGGGTGCATTCATGGCGGCATCTTCTTTCCTTCTGTCTCTGTTCCCTGTTCATATGTGCGTGTGGTCCTATCTCTGCCCCAGAGGAGATCTACGGAAACTGGAGTCTGCCCCTGAACACTTCTCATATCTGGCACCCACGGATACGAGAGGTGGGTTTGCACGTGGAGTAAAAGAGACCTGGACCTCAGGAGGTAGCTAGATGGGAGTGAGGGCCATAACTGAGTTGGGGTATGCGAGTGGATAGTCCAAGAGCAATTTTTTAATGTGGAAATCATAGCTTCTACATAGTAACTTATGACTGATCTTTGCTCTTCCAGGTCCAGGGCGCAATCATAGTGTCCAGCATTGTGGAAGTGGTGATTGGGCTGATGGGACTGCCTGGGGCCCTGCTCAGCTACATTGGGCCTCTCACAGTCACCCCCACTGTCTCCCTTATTGGCCTCTCTGTCTTTCAAGCTGCTGGTGACCGAGCTGGCTCCCACTGGGGCATCTCAGCTTGGTGAGCGGCCACCAGGACTGATCCTTGCTCAGCCCCAGCCCCCTAACCCCCTGTATGTCTGTCCCCCTTAGTCCTGGCTTTTGCCCCCAACCTGGCCTACCAACCATCTCTTTGTTGTGCCCCTGCCCCCAGCTCCATTCTCCTGATCATCCTCTTCTCCCAGTACCTACGCAACCTCAACCTCCTGCTGCCTGTCTACCGCTGGGGCAAGGGCCTCACTCTCTTCCGCATCCAGATCTTCAAGATGTTTCCTGTGAGGAGCTGATACGTGGCTGGGGCTGGGACTAGGGCAGGGGCTGGACTTGTGTCCAGGGTCAAGGTGGGGGGGCAAGGGCCAGACAGCAGGGGAACTAGAACTTGAGCAGAGATGAAATCCCAGCCGGGGGCTGGAGCAGGTGCTGGAGCTGGGATCTAGGGCTGGGGCAAAGGCTGTGGCTGTGGCTAGGGCTGAAGTAGGGGCTGGTTAGCTTGGAACAAGACCTCCAGGGCCCTCAGTGTGCCCCTCACCCCTCGCCACTTCAGATTGTGCTGGCCATCATGATCGTGTGGCTGCTGTGCTATCTCCTGACCCTGACAGACGTGCTGCCCACAGACCCTACAGCCTATGGCTTCCACGCACGAACAGATGCCCGAGGGGACATCATGGGTATCACACCCTGGATCCGAATCTCCTACCCCTGTGAGTGATCCCACCTGGGCCCCTCTGCCTCTAACTGAGACCATCTATGAGGCCCCTGCTGATACCAATCCAGTTGGTGATAAAAGTAGTATTAAATGCTGCATGTGTATCGTGTGCCAAGCAGAGTGCTGTAAACTCAGAGCCTCACTCCAGCTTCATGACTGAGTGATCCCAAATAAGCTCCCACAACTGTACAGCACCCACCTCAGCTTGAAATCCCTTTATCTACATTCCCCCCCAAACTGCCTAGTCCACTCCCCAACTCACCCTCCTGTCTTCTCCCACACCTCCCAGGTCAGTGGGGCCTGCCTACAGTGACTGCAGCAGCTGTCCTAGGGATGTTCAGTGCCACACTGGCGGGCATCATTGAGTCCATTGGAGATTACTACGCCTGTGCCCGCCTGGCTGGTGCACCACCTCCTCCAGTACATGCTATCAACAGGTATGCCCATCTGCCCTCCCCAATATCTGATCCTCTCTGGGGTCACTCAGGAAGCAAATGTAGGGACAGGATCGAGTCCCAAAGATGTGGACTTGGGCAAGTCACTAATACTCTCCAGACCTCGTTTTCCTTACTTATGAAAAGGGGATGTTCTCATCACTCAGCGTTGCCAGTAGCTGAGGAGATAGTGAAGTCTGAGGAATGAGGAAACTGAAGCCCAGAATCTCCTAAGGGAGTACGTGCCAAGGCACGGGGAGTAGTGCTCAGACCTGGGCTCCTGGTTCCCAGACATACCTCTGGCCAGGAGTGAGGAGTACTGCAGACAGATGGTTGCAGCTTTCACAGTCCTGGAAGAGGCAAGGCTCTGCCAGGGTGATGGGAGGACACTAGCGAGGGAGGGGAGGGTTGCGCAGAGGCTAGACCAAACCCACACTCCCTTTCCTTACAGGGGCATCTTTATCGAAGGCATCTGCTGCATTATCGCAGGACTGTTGGGTACGGGCAACGGGTCCACCTCGTCCAGCCCCAACATTGGCGTCCTGGGAATAACCAAGGTGCAGCGCCGAGCCAGAGCAGTACAGAGGCCCGACTCCTGTGCCTCACGCTTCGCCCCAAGCCAGTACCCACTTTGGCCCAGTCCCACCCTATGTTTGAGGGGCCCCTCCCTACATCAAGCCCTGGCCCTCTAGTGTCTCACTCTCATCCCAGGCTACGCCCGAACCCCACCCTCCCCGCCCCGATCCCGGAACTCACCCTGTCCGGCCTCGCCCCCTGCGTCTAGCCCTGCCCCTGGCTCCCTGGCAGGTGGGCAGCCGGCGCGTGGTACAGTACGGTGCATGCATCATGCTGGTCCTGGGCACCATTGGCAAATTCACGGCCCTCTTTGCTTCGCTCCCTGACCCCATCTTGGGGGGAATGTTCTGCACCCTCTTTGGTGAGTGCCGGGCGCGGGCCCCAGGTCCCATCACGGTAGCAGAGTGGGGGAGCCCCGCCGGGCCGCGTGGCTTCTCTAGCGGTTCTCCTGCCCCCTCAGGCATGATTACCGCTGTGGGGCTGTCCAACCTGCAGTTTGTGGACATGAACTCCTCCCGCAATCTCTTCGTGCTCGGATTTTCCATGTTCTTCGGGCTCACGCTGCCAAATTACCTGGAGTCCAATCCTGGCGCCATCAACACAGGTGCCTTCACCTATCTGAATGTCACCAGAGTGGGGGAGGTTTGGTGAGCTAGACACTGAGCACAGCCCCTCCCTCAAAGGTTCCATACAGTTAGAGCCACAGTTTCTGCCCAACTCTGGATGTTGTTAATCAGCAGCAGAGAGGCTAATTAGCAGAGATGTCCTTTACTAAGACACTTTCCACAGACAGGTATTGAACTTTACGTGTGCTCCTTTAATTTTCACAACAGCTCCAGGAGACAGATATAATCATCTCCATGTCACAGATGAGGAAAGTGAGGCTTAGATAATTTGCCCCAAGACAAGAAAAGAAGTAGCAACTGGCACAACTGGGATTTGAATCCAAGAGTGGGAAAGGCAGAGGTGTAGATAGGCTTTAAAGTTGGAGTTTGTACAGTTCCAGCTCTACACCTGCTCAAGGAAGTCAGCAGGCTGCACAAGTAGGGAGAATGTCCCCGAGCTCTGCTCTCCAAATGGGGCCATGATACCCATTGGCCCTTGGCCTATTCCATAGGCATTTCTGAAGTGGACCAGATTCTGACTGTGCTGCTGACTACAGAGATGTTTGTGGGTGGCTGCCTCGCTTTCATATTGGACAACACAGTGCCAGGTATGGGTCAGGCCTAGGAGGAAAACCCAGAACCGAGCTGGGCTCATCTGCACTCCAACACAGCCCTTGAACTGGAGCTATGGCCAAGTCTAATATGATGCAGGCCCTTTGGGCAGGGAGATGCAGAAATAGACGGGCTGGTGGAGTGCCTACTGGCTGGAGGGAGAACCCACTGGCCAGAGGCACAGACATGTCTCATAGATCTTGAAGAGGGTAGGGCTAGGAGGGTCATTCCAGGGCTCTATGAGTTGTTTCCTCTCCATTTCCTGGTAGCCACTGAGGGTGAGGAGTGCTTTTGCTTTCTTAAAGTAGGAGATAAAAACGTAGCATCAGTTTGTTGGCAAAACTCACTCCAAATATGCCAGAGCCTGTCACTCTGGCTACTAGAAGAGCCCCTAACATTTCTTTGCTATTAGGGCTCTTTGCAGGAATTGTGGAGGATACTTCACGGGGGTCTCTGAGAACCCTCTTGGACGTTTATGTGCCCAGTAAATACATGAAAACTAAATGTCACCAGATGCTCTCACTGGTAACAAGCATAGTTAACATTTACCAAACATCTACTATGGGTCAGGCATGGAGCTGTCTCATTTCGTCCTCAAAAACTGTCCTGTGAGGTAGAGACTATCGACACCATTTTATATGAGGAAACAGAGGTTAAGTGACTCGCTGAAGGTCACATCTACAGATTTTAAACTTTGCAAATCTGGGAATTTGTAACAAAGCCCATCTGATTCAGTCTATCGCCTGTGTCCCAGCCATTGTACCACACTGCTTCTGCTGGAGGGTTTCAGGTGAACTGGAAGATCAGGGAAAGCTCCGTGGAGGCAGGGGCTAAGAAGACTCCATCAGTCTAGGAAGGTGAGGGATGACAGTAGTGGGATGATGGCCTTCCATCTCCCCCTACTTACCAGCCTGAACATAGCTGCATATCCCCGCTTGCTTGCCCCTCTCTGAAGATACAAGTCTTTATTCAGAGCACAGGAGTAAGAGGCTGGCTGTGCACAGCTGGTGGTCTGGAGTGTGGGCAGGGAAGGGCTAGGGATCCTGGCACTTTTAAGAATTTTAGACAGCATCAGATGTTGAGGAAGCTCTTGGTACCAGCTGCCACTTAGACGGATGGATGGTACCTGATCTTTCCCCATTTAGAGGAAGCTGAGCTGGGGGTTAGAGCAGCCCACCCTGTGAACCTGAAACAGGAACTTGGCATCCTCAATGCCAAGGGAATCTGCGGAGACTAAAGGTATTAGGAGGGCAGCTATAAACTGAGGGGCTTCTCTGGTTTGAGTAGTTGAATTAAGCTAACCAGATGTTTAGTCTCAGACAGCCTGAGTTCCTTGCACCCCCATTCTTCAACCCAACTGCCCATCAGCAGCCATTCATGCTAGGGATCTATTAGGTTATGCCACATCATCTTCAACAGTCCCTCAGTATGCATTAGAATTAGAATGTGTATGTGTGTGTGTGTGTGTGTGTGTGTGTGTGTGTGTGTGTGTGTGTAGCTATTAAATTTGGAATTTGAATCTTAATCACTTGCTGAAAGTTAAATAGCCTGGATTCAAACCCACATCTGGCTGGCTCTGAACTCAGTCCTTCCATGGAATCAATCGCATAGCTTCTATACAACGGGCACACTTTGCTGATATGCCACTTTGCATTTGCTCTTACTCTTTACCCATTCACAACCCAATCTTAGAGGGGCAGTCAATTTAATTCATCAAATGCTAGAGGAGCTTACTAGCTTACCCTTGGGTAAGACAATGAAGGGGAATGTACAAAAACAAAAGTATAAGTCATAGTTTGTTTTGAGGAGCTCCTAGTACGGAAAGTAAAACTGGATTAAAAGCAATTTGGAGCAATGTCAATAAGCCTGGGCTAGACTCATCTGGAGCATTTCCTGGATGAGCCTGGATGGAACCTAGGAGAATGGAAGGGACCTGGAGAAGCAGACAGGGCACTGCAGGTAGGGATGTACAGGGTAGGCAAGGGAGCTCTGAGCCAGCTGCTGTGTGTGTGTGTCCTGGCAGTGGTGAGGGGGGAAATCAGACACAAGAGTCCGATGCCACACCTCCAGCTCTTCCCCGTCCACTCTGCCCACCTGTGCTTTGTACAGCTGGACCCAGCTCAAACACTACCTTCTCCCAGCCTCTTAAGGACCCTAGCCTTCCCTCAGTGCCCTCTCCTAAAAGACTTTGGGACACACGTGTGGAAATCTTATTTTCACCACTAGATTTACAGTGTCAGTCTTCACCAATACATGCCCTCTTGTGAAAACCTCAGAGATCTCATGCAACCCTCCTCCTCCTAAGGACAAATTCCTCTAGTTGTAAAAAAATTCTTTTGTGTATCCCTACCACTTTACTTAGCTTGGCTTTCTGAAGTTTGTTATTATAAAAATAAGTTTACTTTCCAACTATGGAACTACACTGGTTATAGTCTTTCAAAATACACCAACCTGTCCCACAGCATAGTCTGGGCACTATTTGGTGCCCATCAGCCCAGCACAGAATAGCCCCATACTCAAGATGTAGAATGACAATTACTTAACTGCCTGTTTCATCATAACATTTTTTATGATAGTGCCTGTATATACGTATAGGTCTTATTTTGCAGAAATGAGATAATGAAATTAAAGCATTTATTAGAACCTGGCACACTGCAGATATTAATAATACTCATTATAACCAGTTTCCTTTAGGGTTCCCTCGAGCTCTGGCCAAGTTAGGAGCTGAGAAATCATAGATTCAACGACTCTTAAGACCAGAAGATATTTGAGAATCAAGACACTTGATTCCAGAAGTCTGCCTTAGGATTAGGTTATGGGAATGAGAAGTAGCAGCAACTGGTCACTTACCAGTTGGCCTTGGTAAGTGACCCCACTGTCCTCTTCCAGGGAGCCCCAAAGAACGAGGTCTGATACAGTGGAAAGCTGGGGCCCATGCCAACAGTGAGATGTCTACTAGCCTCAAGAGCTACGACTTCCCCATTGGGATGAAGATGATAAAAAGAATTGCCTTTCTGAAATACATTCCTATCTGCCCAGTCTTCAAAGGATTTTCTTCAAGGTCCAAAGACCAGCTTCCAGGTCCAGAAGACACTCCGGAAAATAAAGAAACCAGACCTGTATGCACCAAGGTCTGAAAAATTACTCCCAGGAAAGGAAGGATCTATTAGTCTATAGCTCTTGTGGGAGGGTTGAAAAAAAAAACCATAACCAAAGAAAAAGCAGTTTCCATTTTTGTGACCTATTTGAGTGTCTTCATCAAGGGGAACACAGACTGGCTAAAAAGTCAATATATAGATTTTGAATGGAATTCCTTAGGCGTTTTATAGGTTTACAAGTATGCTGAAATATTGATCCCTTCAGCCTTCTGGGTATCTGGGTAGAAGCTGGGTCATCTGGAGCCCATGAGCCACAAACGTCAGCCATAGGCAGCCAGCCTCATCTCTGTACTCCAGAATGCTAAATAAAAAACTTTATGAGATGGAAAGGTTGAGAAATACTGACATAGCAAAATAACAAGAAAAACCCTCTCATATGCCTTGTTTTAATAAGCCATAAAATAAAAACAGGATGACTTCCGTTACCCTAAAACTATGCCATATAGGCTCTGATGGGGTGATTATTTGTCTCAAGGACTTTGAAATGTACTCAGTAGTGATACTCTGAAACTTTCCATTTCTACCTGAAATAATAAAGGGAATGTGTACATTCCATTTCTACCTGAAATAATAAAGGGAATGTGTACAGAATCATCTCTGCTTCAGTTTATTATGGTGTATTCAGGTGTAATGCAGACACCTGGCTCTCTAGTCAAACATCAAAGTAGTTTTAATCTACACATTCCCTAAGTCAGACAAAAAATGTTCCAACAAAATGAGAGCTTAGCCTAGATGATTCCTTAAAGGAATAACAATCACTTACTTAAATAGAACTTTCTATGTGCCAGGGACTGTCTTAAGTGCTTGATGTATATTAACGCATCACACAGTCCTGAGATATTATCATTACTATTCTAAAAAGCCAGAATCTTAAGTTACAAAAAGGTTAAATGACTTGCCCATGATCACTGGATTCACAATCAGGAAGTCTGACTAGCCTGCTCTTAATCATTGGATTACAATGTCTAAGTTTATAATCTCCAATTATATCGCACTATGGTAATTTGGCAGCATGTGGAAATGAATTTATTTGCCTCCATCTGAGCTCAGAGAGAGAGGATCTGTAAGTCTCATGTATTTGGCAGCCCTGTGGTACTGAGCTGTTAAGAGAACAAAGGGGACTGGTTGTATCATGGCTACAAAAAGAATAAGACTAAAGCAGAATCATCTCTGCTTCAGTTTATTAAAAACCCTGTTTATTAGTTTGTTATGGTAGCTATTAAAAACCACTGGGGCACAGGTGCTCACACCAAAGGATCCCCAACTCCAGGAAGGATGTGAGGAAGAACTGATTACATGGCCTTCTCAATCTTGAGCCTAACAAACTTGAAAAAAGCCCAGAGGGCATTATCAACAACCTCGTAGGGCCATGAGACAGAATTGTATGTGGAACTAGGAAATTGCTAGTTGGTTGACAGTGTATCCCAAATAAAGATTATCCACAAACATATTATAAATAAGCTTATGAGGGGAAAATAGGGAAGATCCGGGTGAATCAAAATAGCAAACTAGTCCTATCAGACTAGCAATGGCTTGTGAAGGTCAGAAGCCAATGAAGGTTATGGTAGAGTTAAGATTACCACTATATTGGTCAGGTGCAGTTTCTTAACATGGATATCTATAATTGCCCTGATGTTGCAGCCTGAGGTGATCAACGTGGGTCACAGAAGGGGCTATGGGGTTTATTTTATTGCTGTATTTTGGACAGATATTTGCATAACAACATACTTGACAAAATGGGATCTAATAAAGTCTGCTCTCTTGGCAAATCCTGCCAGCAGGGTTGCTCTGAGGTACTGAGGCCCACAATGAAGTGAGTATCACCACTAGAGAATCTGCATTCAGCACCAATAAACACAACCATCAGCTCAGTTCTACTATTATTTATTTTTTTAAATATTTTTGAAAAAATATAATTTTTTTACAATATTTTCAACTTAAACACTATTCACACTGAACACGTATGGCAGCTTAACCTACCCAAATATGAAGTTTAAGAAGCCAAAACTGTTCTAGCTTTGTTAAAAGAAAAGTTGTGCTGCAGACTATTGTAGTGATAGTTAACAAAGCAAGGAAAAGCACCACTCAAATCACGTGTTACAATTTCTTTGTTCAACTGGATTATGAGTTGGTCAAATGTTAGACTTCACGCAGGCATAGCTATGATGCAGTGACTCCTCAGAAGATACAATTCTCAAATCACATACTTCCTCAGATGTAACAGTAGGAGAATTCAGTATTTCTTACATAACATGCCATTAGAACAGGACTAGTTCTAATCTGATCACTACCCTGTAACCTCAGTACCAAAGACATACTTATCTACAATGTATTTTTTCAAATTAAGTAATAAAGCTTCTTCAGGAGATTCTTTTTGATGGAGACAAATGCAAATTTAAGTCTAAACTGAGAAATCTGCTTAACACCTAGAGCTTAATTTACTCATTAAGTTTAGACACTAACAAGTGTTAACCTTAAGAGACCAGTTTAGCCTCAAAAAAGAAAATTCACTAAGATTTAGAAGTCATTTAATTTGGTGCTTTGTTACAACTTGACTGGTGCTTCTTTCCTTGCTGTCTTCACATCAAGCCATGGGGCCAATTCTATTTCAGTAAATGTTTGACAGCTTTTAACTTAATAACAGTCTCAGCACTTTTATTAAGCATGCAAGACTAACAAAACTTTGGCAATGCATAAGTGTAACACAGTGACAAGAGAGAGCTTTTACAATTAAGTCTTCTAATACTGCCTTCACAGTGTGGAAATTGTGCTACATCCACCAAAAGAGGGCCCCGTCTACTCAAATATTTTAGTACTTCACCCCAGGAACAAACTCCTTTGCATTTGGATTCAGATTGCTCTTGACCTGGAAAATAAGTACATAAAAAAAGCAAGTTCATTAACAGATGGCTTCAGATACTCAGAAGCATTCAACCCAGATCCACATGCAAAAACATCTTCCAAAAAGTACAAGACAAAAGCAAGAACTCATAGTTAAATTTAACCCAAAAAATCTATGCCAGGAAAAGCAGGAACCAGATGTAAGATATATGTATTGTATCAAATTTTATCAACTTTATAAGGACAAAGTAGGAATTGAAATTAAACTTGCTTAAGTGTAACCAGAAACCCACTAACTTCACATAAATTAAGTGTAACAGAACATGCAATTCTGTTCATTTAGCTATGATACCTGACTTTCTTTAAACAGTTTTATATCATGCAAAAATATTAAACAAGTGTTGAAATGATGATTAAAGTGACTGGGGAACTGTTTATGTATTAATTTTACTTTATGATCCTCACTGAAAATACAGTGCTGTTTTCCAACAATTGCTGTATTCTAATTCCCACAGGAAACCAAGTATATAACAAGAAAACTACATGGGGAGCCAGAAGGCCTAAGTTGGAATCCCAGCTCTGCCCCTAACTAACTTCCTATGTAAGCCTGACAAAGTCGCTCTCCCTGGGACTCCAGCGGAAGAAGAGTCTGAGAGCCTTACAGACATGTACCACCATTATTCTATATCTCTGCATCTTTACTTTCATAAAGAGACATGTCAGCATATAGGGAATAGCTGGCAACTTTCCTCTACCACATATTGGAATGCAAGCTGAAAAAGATGAAAGGAAACCAGAACAGATTCCAGGGCTAGAAATGTAGGCATGCTGCAGGATTTTAGAATGATTCTGAGCCCTCTATGTCACTTACTTCAAGACCAAGCACATTAAACAGCACGCTGGCGCAATAACTTAATCTTATGGTTTCATAATTTATACACAACCATTTCCTTGTACAGGACATAGTCTCCCTTCTCTCAAGAGAAATATATATAAACTTTAAAACTGAGGTTTAAGTAAAAAAGCAGTGTTCTTGAAAATGCAATCTTTTGGCAGCTACAAAAGAATGAGAAGGAATTAAAGTAATCTCAAATAGACTAAGTCAAACAAACCAGTTTCTAGATAATGGATTTATCTTGGCTGCAGATTAAAGTTACATATGACCCCCAACCAAGAGCTTTACTCATCAGAGCAACCAGGATTATTTGTGGAGTGACTAATGTAGCCATAAGCAAGCATATCCTAACAGAATATTCATATCACACATCTGCTCAATTAGTTACTGTCGTTTACTACGACAAAGGCTATACCACAATGTAAACTAAATTTCAGTGATCTCTATACAGCTCTTTAGAAGAATGTTTTCCAAATGCCTGATAGGCTGGCAGTATGCTCTAGGAGTAGTTTTTAAAAACAAACATGCCTAGATGACTGATTCTGCAGGTCTGGGATGTAGCTGAGGAACTTTTTGTTTGTTTTCAGTGCTTCACAAGTAATTATGATACACAGCCAGGTTAAAAAATCACCGCACAGTGAACAGAAGACAATTACAAAAAATACTTCAGAGTTTAGGGGTAAATTCCAGAGATCCTGTAGAAGCAACTAGAGACTATGCACAGGTTAACATTCTGACTTTAAATTATTTTATCTTAATTTCAGTGGACTCATTAGGTTCTACTCTAGTACTGATGATTAGTAATTAAAATTCCTAAAAAACAAAAAAAACCTTTTACTACAAATATATCGTCAGACACTGAGATAACTAAAAATGAAAATAGGTTTGTGTTCTTTTCTGTCAAGAGCTTGTAAAAGTCCTTATTAAAACACAGTTCCAAGAGGAGTTATGGTTAACTCAATGAAAATCCTGGATTTCTTGAATTCAGGAAAAAAAATTCCCAAATTTTACCTTTCAGATAAAAATTTGCAAAAATCATCAAATGTTTTAAGACAAACTTAAAGAATACCTCTCCGTTAAGCTACTTTTTTGTATAGGTAAGTCACATAGACATACTGTGTACTTTTTGAATTAATGCTTTAAGACATTTATGTCTCCTAGGGCAACATAGTTATCAAAACTAAAAGCAGTGGCAAGAAGTCTGTTAGTAGTCTCAGACTAAATCCAGAGGGTTTCCAGAAGTCACTCCATGTCATAAGTGAGACTGGGAAGCCTCTACTTCCATAGTAAAAAGCATTTTACAATTTCTGAAGGGGAAGAGATGTAGAACTCTTCTTAAACAGATGGTTGCTGGCTTTTCCACTTATGGGAAAGATGAGCTACGTTTTAAAAAGATGAAAAATAACTTTTTACCACAAGATCTTCCAGAGAAGAGCCATCACTGATAACAAGGTCAGTAAATTGGTCTTGGATTTGGTCCATAGTTTGTGGGAGATCTCGAGCTGGAATAAACCACTCATGTTCTTCTTCCTCTTCCAGCATTTCTTGGAAACAGCGTTCAATAAATTCTTCTTCCCATAACTCCTCTTCTATCTGGATTTATAATAAATAAAGGATAATTTATAGCACATTTGGTAAGACATCACTAGGAACAGCTTAAAAATATCTTGAACCATTTAAAAACATAATGTCGTACTTCCTCTTCTGCTTGTGTCCTAAGGAAAAAAAAATGTTTACCATAAGACCTGAGAAGATCTGTTTAGAGTTTTATGTCTTTACTTGTCTTAGCAGACTATATATTTTTTTGCACTGAGGGTGGAGGGGAAGAAGTAATAAAGAGTGCTCTCACTGAGGAATGCATGTCAGAATTACCTGTGATACTTTTAAACTATATAAACCCTAAACCTACCCAAAATGACTGAAAAAAAATTTTAGAGGGTAGTGTCAGGATATGGGTAATTAAAAAAAAAAAAAGCCAACTGAGTTTCACTGAAGTAAGACTACATTGTTTTATTCTTGAATATGCATCATTGGATATGGTAAAATCAAGTTGGCTACTTACTATCAAAGCCATATCAGGGAGGAAACTGTTAGAAGATGGGAAGAGATGCCAGAAATATGGGAATAAAAGACAACATTTATCAATGTAAGAAAGTTCTCTAAAGAGAAGTGTGGTGTCAGATATTTCAGGCTGATTAGAGAACCTCATGTGAAAAACAGAATAATTCTACACCCTAGTTAGTACCTGTGCCCATCTGCTCCTGATTTCTATTCTCTTGACTTTCACTGCAATAGAGCAATATGACTGGTATAGGCAGTGGTTTCCAAACCTAATTGCTCAATGGAACCATCTGGGAGCTTTTAAAAAACGAGTTTCCCAGGCCCCACCCTAGTCTTCCAGAAGCTGAATCTCTGAAAAAGGCTCCCTAACCTGGTAGTAATCAGCATCCAGATAAAACAGGACTGGCTGCACATAAATCCATATATTTCATATATAGGGGACCAGATAAAAAATACATTTCAGGAAGCAAGTACATCATTTGAGGATTCTCTGGGGTATGAAAAAGAACATATTAGTACACAAAACTAACTTGTCTGTTGAATTCCTCTTCATTTTCCATCCACATGTACTCTGCAAATGGATTGTCATCTTCATGAGAATGACCGTTAATAATCACATCTTCATTGATGATGCTTGGGCTAGTACTGCTGCGACTTGGATCTTTCATGGTTGGCGTTAGTTGTCGTTTTTAACCTTAAAGCAACAACAGTTATTTTAGTTAGTGATTTTTTTCTTAGTGAGCATCTATTATTACCATGCACATGATAATTGGGCGATTGGAAATTATTTTTTTCCCCAAATGATTTTAATGTTTAAGAACTTAGATGACAACAGCCTATATTCATCTAATGTTTTCAGATAGCAGTGAAGGTAATCAATTGCTTAAATGGGTGGTCTGGAAGAGTTAAGTCATCAAGTGACTTTATGAAAAGCAAATTCTGCTTTAAAA